CTCGTCGTCAAGCCCGTTGGGCTCAGCTCCTCGCCCCATTCCAAGGCTACATCACAATCACTTATCGCCCCGGCCCTCAAAACATGGCCGACGCCCTCTCCCGCTTCCCGGTCAGCCCAGCCCCTACCCCAGAGACCTCTGACCCCAGTCCCTCACCTCCCATTACATCAGCAGAAAACCTAACCTCACTTACATCTCCATCACCTCCCCCGCTTTGGCCCTCCACTTCACCACCTGTCGACGTCGCAGCCAACCATGCCCTTCATCATGCCTGTTTCACCATCGCAGCCCATGTCGTGCCAGACCCCAGCCTCGCAGATGACATCCGTTTCGGATACACCACCGACCCCATGTACTCCAATTCAACAACCACCAAGCCCTACCTCCAACGTTCCCCAGACGGTTTCTTCTACTTCGCCAACCGCATCACCATCCATAACGTCCCATCCTTACACCGCCGCCTACTTCACGAATTCCACGATGCTGCTTACTCTGGTCATCCTGGTTTTCGTCGCACCCTCGCCGCGATATCAACCCGCTACTGGTGGCCTTACATGGCCCGCACCGTCAAAGCCTACGTCAAGTCCTGCCCCATCTGTCAACGCACCAAGCCATCCACCCAGCCTCCGCCTGGCCTCCTCCACCTGCTACCCACCCCCACCCAACCCTGGACACACGTGTCTCTGGACTTCATCACCGACCTGCCGCCCTCTAAAGGTTTGGACGGCCGCACCTACACCGCAATCCTCACCTTCGTCGATATGTTCACCAAGCAAGCCCACTTCGCCCTCACTAATAAGACCACCACCACCCACGACACCGCCCTACTCTTCCTCACCCACGTCTACCGTCTACACGGTCTTCCAACAACCCTCGTCTCAGACCGAGATTCCCGCTTCATGTCCGACATCTGGCGCACCTTCTGGGAGCACCTTGGCACGTCCCTAAACATCTCCTCCGCCTATCATCCACAAACTGACGGTCAAACCGAGAGAACACATCGCACTATTGAACAGATCCTCCGCGCTTACACTCAACCTATGCAGGACAACTGGGCATCATACCTTCCGATCACCGAAGCAGCATACAACAACACCACCCACGCAAGCACCGGCATGACACCATTCTACACCAATCACGGTTACCACCCGCGCACTCCCATCTCCCTCCACGGCCCCCAAGCCGCTTCACCTTCCTCTCACCCGCAGGCTTCAGAACTACAGCAGCGTATGAGCGACATCCATGCCACCATCAACCGCGAAATTCAAGCCGCCAAAACCCGCTACGCTGCAACAGCTAACCAGCATCGCCGCGCCATCACCTTCAAAGTTGGCGATCGCGTCCGCCTGTCCACAGAACACCTCACCCTGCCGACCTACCCCTCCCCAAAACTTCGCCCTCGCTACCTCGGGCCTTTCCTCATCTCCTCCGTCATTTCTCCAGTTGCATACCGCCTTCACCTTCCAGCCTCCCTCGGCCGCTTGCATCCAGTATTCCACATCAGCCGCCTCCTTCCATGGACGGACAACAACCCAGCGCTCTTCCCCGGCCGCCCACCACCTCCCCCTGCAGCCCCTACTGCACTAGAATCCCCATATGACAGTGCAGATACTGTTGTTACAGCTGTTCGCCTGGGGTATAACAAGCGCGCACGCCCGTCCGTCATGTTCCTCGTGCAGTGGTCCGCTAGTAGTAAACGCGACCCCTCATGGGAACCATACGACGACATGCACAACCTGCCAGCGCTTCGTGCCTTCCTGAGGAGCCCAAGCTGGACCGCGTTCAAGCTATCAGATCGCTATGCGTGGTTCAGAGCCAAGTTCCCGGAGCATGCCCCAAGGATCGTACAGTTTTTGGCAGAGTAGAGCTGCGGCTGGATGTGTGTGTGTGTCATCATGTGTATTCGGTATATCTGTGCGTCTTCGTTCTGTTCCTGTCCGTAGATTACACCAGTCAGTTCAACGTAGTGTGGTATTGCATTTCACGTGTTTGTTCGCGTCTGGGTATTTGGGTTCCGTGTAGTCAGATTTAAGTCGTTTTCGTAGCAGCTTTTGCGTATCTCCGGATTCTTAAGCCGGATATGGTAGGAGTCGTGCGCCACATTATAGGCCGGTATCCAGTGCGGGGAAGGTTTTGCCTTGACTCCGGTTCCCTTTTGCCTTCCCCTAGTTAGCCTGGTACCGATTTCGTTCAGGGAATCGGAGAGGCGCACGACTATGGCCACTTAGTGACGTTCTCGCACCGAGGACGGTGCTTGTTTTTAAGGAGGGGAGTGTGTAAGGTTTTGCAGTTCGTTAGCGCGCGCTTCTGAGACCATGTCGTAACTTCGGAGCTAGTGGAGCTTGATCTTGTGGTTCTCCGTGTGAGACAATGGCGCGCTAACATGAGTATTTAAGCGGACCATTTTACGAACATTGTAAGTCTAAGTTGAAATTGAAAAGCCCGATCTTCTGTGCTTACACAAGTATATCGGCCAGTAAAGTCAGCTTGCACTTCCCAGTTGTTAGGAGCGGCCTGGTTCCCTTTCAATTGGTGTTCCTGGCCTCGCCGTAGTTCGTTAAGCAGCCCCTCGCACAAATGTGTCCGGTCGTACTTCGCGAATAAAAGGTCCGTACATCACGCCCCAAAAGCCAGGAGCGAATTTCACCGCGCGGGTGCGCGCGTGCGATTCACAAATTGCGCGTGTACAAGTGTATATAAATTTCTGGCGAAAAGGCCGAGGTGCGCCAGCGCATTGCCCAGGTGGTCTTGTTGGCCATAGTCACACGCGGCATGCAGGCTGGACTATTGCGTGGCTGCTTTGCAGTAACTGAAAGCACCGAAAGCCTACGTCGTAGCTTGCAACACTGGGCTCGTGAAACTGCCGCGGGAAGATGAAGCGTTCGGTGAAGAAGCAGTTGTGTGCAAGCCATAAGGCGCCTGCTTTCGGTAGCGCAGCGCATAATGCACATGGTTCCGACTAAACTCAACTTACACTCTTACGAAATAAATAATAACAAACGCAGAATTAGGTAAAGATAAGAATCGCGAAAGTCGTTCAGAACCTTGCAAGTAAAATGGATGCCGCTGAGGGCTTGGAACAGCTTTTCGCAGCGCATTCAGCCGTGCCTGCGTTAGCCGTGTTGCAGCAACTACGGAAGGACTTGAGCCAGCAGCAAGCTCAAAAGCTGCTGAAGAACCACGGGGATTGTCTTCAGATGGGAACATGTAGTTTTGGTCGGCACGGTCGAGCAGTGTACGCATTGTGCACAGGTACCGAGGTGCAGCGTCTCTTTGACATCGCCAACATATCTGGTACGCGGTGGCTGGCTTGCCGACCGCGAAATGAAGGGGGGGTCGCATCTCACCATTCAACTATGCATGCATGTGCTCGGTTGAATGCTAGGTAGCGTGCGAGTTTACAACTATCAGGATGTTTGTTTGCATATCCCTCCAAGCGAGAGGGCTTGGACCTATGCTGATGTTCGCTAATCTCACATTCCAATATGCCACTGCATTTTCCTCTCCAGCCTGGCCACATTCTCTTCCTCGCAAACGTACTTGGGCACCTTACAATCCAACACCATACGTGCCTTGGAAACGCGGGCAGCTGCTTCACAAGGACCCCCCTATTTAGCCAACTTCCACTCCGGGGCATAGGCACTCCGGGAGGGGGGGGAGGGCACTTTACCGGTAACGTACCGTTACCCGTAACGTACCGTTTACCATGTCCGAACCGACCACTTTTCCCAAAAAGTCTTAACGTAACGTAGCATGTGAACTGGCTATAAGGAACCTGTCTCGATACCAGATTTGTTGTAGGCTTCAGACGACACAACCACATAATGGGAGCATTGAAAGATACGGATTGAGACAAGTGTCTTGATTAAGTAGTCATCAGTGGCTCCACTTGGGCCTCGCGCCGATAAGAATCCCCAGTACGACTGGGCAGCGCGGTATCCAGAAGCCATAGTTCACAGGAACTACTCTCGCTCAGTCAGACGAAACTGGGACGCAGGTCCCAGCTTTACGTAGGCAAAACCCCCGCCCATACGCAGGTATGGACTTCCGCAGCGGTGCGGCATTAAGGTGGCGGACGACTAACAGTAGTCGCTTTAGCCGCCTGCGCCTATGGACCAGGGTGAGACAGCCCGACAGGAATGGCACTTGTCCTGAAAATCCCGACAGGCTTTGAAAATGCTTTCGGGCGGACCCGACGAAAAAGGGGGGAAAATGCCAAACGGCCATCGGGAGCCCCCGTCGGGGCCCGGAGGGCCCCCGTCGGGGGACCCGACATGGGTAGGGGCGCTAGGACCACCTGATCGGGTGCCGTGGGTCATCGGTGGGCCCTTCAGCGACAGACAGCTACAGCGATACATAATGGCATTCATAAAAATATAACTGGATGGAAATATGTAATGTACCGTAATGCTATGGCCGATTGGTGATTTCTGGATTGGTGAAAGTAAAAAACGCTTCTAGAATTAATCTTTCCAGCTGCAGCTGAATTGGTGATACGGTTTGGTGTTACCCCGTCCACTTTTTCCCATTGCCACCGAATTGGTGAAAGCCGCCAACCGGACTGCCCCCAGCGTTATTGTTTTGCGGAATATATTCCGATTTCGGAATGAAAAAATGTTCGTGGTCCTGAAAGTTAAGAATAAATAATGTTCCAACCGTACAAGTTCATTCCTCCAGCCAAAATTGGACTGTCCATGCCAAAGCCGCTAGAATCTTACAGGAGACATACATGTTACCCATATCATAGTACTTTAATGCCATGGATACTGTTAGGAAGCTCTCGCCCGGAAGTCAACGAGGAATCGGACTGTTTCTGACCGGACCAAACGCTGCAAAACATTTGGACCCGAAGCTCCCAAATGAAGCATTGAAACGTTTCTAGATGCACGCCGTCGCATACAGCAAAGTGACCCTTAAACTCATGCACAGTTTGTCTAGCCGAACCGGTTCGGCCTAGCTGGTGTCCTGCGGCCGCGGTTCAGTGCAATGGACTGCACCTTTCACAGCTCGACCACCTCCTCCTCATCCCCGCTCCCCTCCTCCGTGTCCGAGTCGTCGGACGGGATATCGCTCAGTTCCACCTCGCTCTCGGACTCAGCCCCATCCAGTGTGCAGACAGTGGCAACAACGCGCTTTGCTCCAGCGCCCTCCTTGGTTGTGCGCTGCTTGGCTGGCTGCTTTTTTGCACGCTGCTTCTTGGCACCAGCCTCAGTCCTGGGCTTCTTGGCTGGGCTGGGCTCGAACAAGAGGTCTGCACAGCCCTCATCGTCGTCCGATGCCCCCGTGGCTGCTGCAGCCAGATCCCCCTGCTCAGACTCGTCCTGCAGCCGTTGCACGTGTGTCAGCAGCTGCTGCAGAGCGACATCGTCGTCCACGTCGTCGTATGGCAGGTTGCTGAGCGGGGCCTCATCTAAAGCAGGCTGCCCAGCGTCCTCATCGCTGGTGCTTGGGGCAGCCAGAGCATTACCGAGGCCAGGCATGAGCCGCTCGGTGCTTGCCTCAGCCACCGCCTGCTTCTTGCTTGGAGCTGGCGGGAAGAGCTTTCCATCACGCTCCAGCCGCATGGCCTCCAGCTGTCGCTCAGCTGTAAAGGCTGCAAGCAGGCCGCAGCGCTCGAATGCACCCTTCACAGCACTGGGCCGCGACTTGATGTGCTTGTATGCCTTGACGAGGAAAAGAAGGGTGAGGGGCTTCAGGCGGGACATGCGAAGGCTGCTGCTGATGTCCTTGGGCGCCACACCCTTGTCCTTCAGCTTCCGGACAGTGTCGATGACCTTCATGGTTGCCGATCGGTGCAGTGCATCCTTAAACGGCTTGTTGATGCCGACATCGCACGGCAGTGCTATCGAGGTGCAGTTGGCCGGCACGTACTTGATGTAGGCCCCAGGGCACTGCGCCTTGACGAATGCCTGCAGGCAAGTGCATAAAGGGATAGGGTACGGGTAGGTATGGGTAAGTCCGGTTGGAATGCTGTACGGTGCATGCCACAAAACCATACCTGGAACTCCTCCGTGAGGTGCACACCCCAGCAGTCGATGATCAGCAGCCAAGGGTGGTCCGCAGGCAGCTGCAGCTCCCGTTTTATGCGCTCCATGTAGGGCTGCAGGACGCGAGCGACCCAGGCCCGCATGGTCGTCTTGTTGGCCCAGTGGTTGTCCGAATAGGTGACGAGGAACTGCTCTTGCTGGGCCGCCTCCATGGAAGGGCCTGATGGCAGGGCGCGCTCGGTCTTCCCCTACAAAAAATGGGGTACAGTATAAAAAGTGTTACGTACCTATACGGATGCTATGTGCCTGCTGTCTAAGACATGTTAACACTTCCCAACCGCTTGTTTTACCTGGAAGATGACCTTGAGCGGCAGCATATCCCCGGCCGCAGACACGGCAATCATGGCCATGATCTGGCGCTTGTCGTCCAGCCCCAGCTGCCGGACCTGCTTAGCACCAATGGCAGCGTAGGTGCGGTAGCTGACGGGGAAGAGGTTGGCGCCTGTCTGGTCGGCGTTGATGACGAGGGCCGGCGGGATTTTCTTCTCACCGACCAGCCAAGCAACCTGAACACACAGTAGAGGGATTGGGTTTACGATTGAGGCGTGGTAAATGAGGTAGCGGCGTCATCTTGTAGATCACTTCTCATAATCAGCTCTACAAGACCGGAATTTCCCCAGCCTGATTGAACGTGCCCAGGCCTACCTGGTCCACGAAGAGCTTGAGCAGCTCCTGGGCGTTGGGCGGAAGCTTCTGTGCCGTGCAGGTAGCGGCACGGTGGGAAAGCCTGAGCTTCTTGCAGACCTTGCGAATCCAGGAAGCGCTGCAGCGAAATGTGCCACCATACTCCTCCAGAATGCTGCCGTAGCCCTCTGCCTTGAGGGTGGCGACGATGTAGGGCCGCATGGTTGAGGAATTGGCCTGAAAAGCATGGGATGAGGGGATGACAGGCGGTAACGTACATCAAACGGCCCTCCTGGGCTTGCAAGGAACTCTACGAAGTACATCTGGGGCTCCTAAGTGAAGTAAGCACACCTGGCAGCCGCTGGCGACCATGTCCTGGATGGCCGTCTTGGTGAGGACCATCACCTCTGCAGGAATGGTTGATTTGAAAGCCCTCCCGCCCAGCTGCTTAGCGCGGGTAAAAACCGTCTTGTCCTCGAGCCACTGAAACCACCAGTTTTTGACGGTCTGCCATGCAAGAGGCCGGTCCTTCTCACTGAACAGGTGAGGAGCCTCATTGTACAGGGTGTTGATGGCGCTCTGGATCTTGGGCTTCTTCACATCCTGACAGGCGGATGAGATATGAATAGTTGGAATCCCTCCCTTGCAACGCTTCCACTCACGTGGCCGGTCAGGTACTTGACCTTGTTGACGACCGTCTGCTTATCGTTGTGCGAGAAAATGTGGTAGTTGCCACGGGGGCCAGACACTCGGGGGCGAGCGGGAGGGGCCAGACGTGCAGCGCTAACCGCACCGTTCGCGAGCCTGAGAGACTCCAGCAACGGAGTTGCTGCCTGAGCAGCCGAGCCCGCAGGACGACCAAGCTGTGCTGCATCTGGCTCCAGTTGCTTCTCAATGGCAGCGATGGCGTCTGCTTCCGCGGCCGAGTCAATCTGCGCTTGCATCGCAGCCTTCGCCGCCTCGTCGCGAGCAGTCTGGGCCGCAACGATTTCAGGGTCGATTCTAGTAGGCTGGACCCCCAGACGCTCATCCACTGGCGCATCCTTGGGCAGCTTCGGTGCGAAGTCAAACATTGTGCGCTGCCTTCCTGCCATGATGCAACTCTTGCTGACCAAGTAATAATTTAATAATGTAATGACTATATAATGTAAAGTTTGGCAGGAAATATTGCTTTATGTGTGCTTTTCTGCGAGTTAGGCAGTCCGGCACCCGACCTGGATCCCAAACGTACAGGGATTGGTGATGGCCGCCGCTCAATCCCAGCCCGGATTATCCTTTGCTACTGGATTGGTGATTTTCAATTAATACAAAGACCATATGCAGCTTTACATTGCCCTTTCGAACATTTGCTGCCTCGTCCTGTAAGTCTGTGGGCTTTACCAAAACAGCTTTCCCAAGCTGAACCTGCTCGATCGTATGGGGGTTTCACGCACTACAGTGCCATGCTTGGATAGTGATGTTGAGAGCGATGAGGAGCCGGCTGATGAGGGGGAAGATGACGAAGAGGAGGCCAGCGAGGCATTTATGAGTGATGGGGATCCAGAACTGTCCAGTGAGTCTGGCAGTGAGGTTGCCGATGAGGGGGAGATGTTCCTCTCCAGTCCTACGGTGTCTAAGGGTCTCCTTGAAGAGCTCGGGTTGTGATGCTCACAGGCAGACGTGCAGGCGTGCATGTGTTGCTGTGTGTGTGTTTGTTCGTGCATATCATAACTGTGAACTGCAAACTGAGAACTGGAAACTGCGCATATAAAATACGAATAAATGTAATTTCAAGCGGCACACAGCGAAATTTCGTTCTTGCGTCACCCGACAGGTTTTGGGATGGGCTATCGGGGCACCCGATCGCGACAGAAATTGAAAGATATGCAAAAACGCTATCGGGCGGGGCCAACGGGCATGGGAAGGGGAAAACCGGCAACCCGACCATTTTAGGAAGGTCCTGTCTAACCCTGCTATGGACCTCCGCAACGGTGCGGCATTTGAACGGTGGACGACTAACAGTAGTCGCTTTAGCCGCCGGCGCCCATGGACTTCCACAGCAGTGCGGCACTTGAATGGCGGACGACTAACAGTAGTCGCTTTAGCCGCCGGCGCCCATGGACTTCCGCAGCAGTGCGGCACTTGAATGGCGGACGACTAACAGTAGTCGCTTTAGCCGCCGGCGCCCATGGACTTCCGCAGCGGTGCGGCATTAATGTGGCGGACGACTAACAGCAGTAGACTAATCGTAGCCGCCGCAGCTAACAGTAGCCGCAATTAAACTAATAGCAGTATTAGTTAAAACCTGTAACCACCGACAGCGGAATTGATGGGTGTTAGTAACATTGAAGTTCGGTAAATCGGAGTGGACGAGATAACCACCGACAGTTAGGATTCGGCGCCCAAACCGTTGCAGAAAACCTTTACAGGATACAACATTGCCACCAGCAGGCCAACAAATTTGCTTTCATTTCTCTATGAAATACACAAGCTGCTTGTTTGTACATTTACTTTGGCCAATGCACGGGGCCTCCGAAGAGTTGCACTCTGCCGCTCTTACTTATCTGTTTAATTATTACAAAGCCATGCGGCAGTGGGGTGCTTTCCTGTAGCCGCTGGTGCTTCAAGACCTAAACATCACAGACAGCACCGGACTTCATATGTTAAGCAATGGCTCCGTTTGCGGTCTGCCGTACTGTCCATGCGATGCGGCATGCACCCGAATGTCCATGCGGCATGCACCTGGATGTCGATTGCTACCTGCCTGTACGGATGCAGAGGGACCCCGCCCTTTTTCCGGCTTCCTTGAAGCCGACACCCAACTTGTCATTGTGACATTTCGTCAGTCCCCGTCAGAGATGGAGGATTTTGTTTTTACTCAGCTGGTAGGCTTTTCGCCCACCCGGGCATCCACCTTTGGGGTAAGAGTATAAGAGTATAATCGTGCCTGGTGTGGGAGATGTTCGCATCCGGATTTGATCCGGGAAGTTCCCACCTCCCAGCGATTCACACCCATGTAACACCAGGCAAAGCGTACCGTAGTGCTACTTATAGTTCGTGCTACAATAATTCGGGAGGCACCACGAATATGTCGCACGTACAAATTCTAAGGTATCCCAAGGGACCACAGCCCCGAAATATCGTACCCTCCGAAGCCCGTCGATCAAACTTCGCAAAAACTAGGATTTCAAGGCGGAAATCAGCTCTTAAATACATAAAATATAGTCATAAACGTAGGACATGAACAACGCTGGAGGATGAGGGCGAGGTCCAGGCGCTGGTGAATGCTGTTCGCAGCAGATCAGGGTTCCGCCGCAGCGCTACCAAATGAGCATCATGCGAGGTGAGGGGTGAGGGTTCCTGTTTGGTGCATCCAGCTGCGTCGTAATGCCTTTTATGTCGGGGTTTCAGCCACATGAAGACACGTTTCAGTAGCAACCACCCAAACACTGTATTGGCCCGGCCGGTTGGTTATTAGGTCGTTACCACTGGTACTGAACTGTACGATCGGTCCAGGATTTGCTAGGGCGTTTCCAAAGTGCGAAAATGGTGAGAGACCATGAGCCTAAGGGAGGGAGACTGACTAGAAGCTGCAGTTTGAAAAGCCCCGAAACTTTGGAAGGGGCCCCGAAATTTGTATCATGCCCGCAAAATCTGGTCCAGCCTTCCCCGAAATTCAAAGAGCACTTACAAATTTCAGAAAGTTTTTTGACCCCTCCCCGAACAAAGCGATCACAAACTATAAGTAGCACTACGGTACTGCCAAGGGAGCTGAACCCTTCTTACAGGTGGGGCTAAGCTTTGGGCTTACTCGAGGCACTGATGTGGCACATCAACTTATTGCTGGGTTGAACAACGGTCGTTTCAAAACTTCTAAAAGGCCGAAGCTCAGAGCAGAATAGTTATGGACAGAATAGAAAACAACCGGCATTTGCATGGCCTGAATGGTCACCATTTACATGCATGTAAATATATTTCAATCCAAACGTTAGGATGGCCTGATTTGCTGACATGCGGTCCCGCCCCGCNCNNCCAGCAAATCAGGCCATCCTAACGTTTGGATTGAATTATATTTGTCCATTTCCATCCTATGTCACAACGGGTACAGAAACGTATTTGCTGTGGGGGACTCCTTCGAGTGCATGTCTGGAATCCCAGACATTTCCGGAAAGTCTGGGAATACGGGAATATCAGTTTTCACTTGGAAAATGGAAGCATGGTTACCCAGTTAATATACTAATAAGGATTTTACGCACGTATATGAGCCTTGTTTATCAGAGCGATGAAATAGGGTTTATAAATAATTTAAGTGTTGATGCTGTATGGTAGATCAGGCGTACTATGAAACGTTAAATTGAAGGCAACTAACATTTACCGCATGTACATTTCCTTATGTGTTGTGCGACATTGCAACAGAAACAAATTATGCTATTATATGCCCACAAGTAATGTATGACCAAGTTACAATGGATCTGGCGCACCAGCAGCGGTGGCAGTGCATGCGCAGGCCAAAGGGTGGTTTCAACAGACGCTATCTTGCAATATTGCTCTGTTCTATCCTCGTAATTTTGTTCGCAGTGGCCGGTGCTCAATATTATGATAGTAAGTTTTATGCGGGGCATAAGCATGAGCTGAAATTGGAAATAGCCCAGTCTTATCGTTGCATGTGTTGTTATGTATGCATTGGTTAGGGATTAGCGCCTGCAAAGTTTACCTTCCAGACAGGCGGCTAGCTATCTAACAACACGCTAGCGCACGTCTGCTATAGCGCAGCAGGCGCCTTTACTTGCTTAATATAATATGGTCCGACTTATTTTTTGTTTTCCATTTTAACCGAGAACGTAAAGCGAGCCGTCTAGGGTCATGAAGTTCGTCCGCTCCGTACATACGCGTGCTAGTATGTGGCAAGCTACCATACCTGACTCATGCCATTTTCATTTTCATATCCACACATCTTCACTCCTATAGTTGGGGCTTTGCTAAGCCTTGCTTGAGGCAGGGTGGTGGGGCCCTCAGACGTCGCAAGAGACTCTTCACTTCGACTCGCTAGATAAGCAGATACGATGAACGGCTTATCGACCGCACACGCACAGAGGCTAAAGACCTTCTTGCCAGGCCAACCCATATTCCTGCGTTATTATGACAAGCCATGCATGCATGCTGTTCCGGATTGAACATGAATGAATGCAGGTGATGCACTGCCGCCACCAACTGAAGGTGTGTCTACGTAGAGGTATACCTCTAGAGGGCAGATCTGCCCAAGGAGAATATCCTGTGCATGCTCTCTTTGCACACCAACCCGATGCATTTTTTATCGCAGCAGACACAGCTATCACCCTCACGTCAGCTGCATTACATGGCCCGGCAGACTAGGTGCATCTGCATGCATGCGCATGCGCGCATGTGCATGCAGACACAAGGTTTGCTTTATTGAATTCAATAAAGTTTCGAAAGTTCCCGTCAGTGATCTTCAGCGTGTGTTATTATGGCCTGCTTAGTTACATACTGTTGTGGAATGGTACTTTATTAATGTGGTGACGGAATTTCGTCATTGCATTGGAATGCACTATGCGTGGTGGGATTAAGGACGAGCATGCAGATGGGGATTTAGGCCCACAGGCATGCCTAGACGGTAGGGTATATACCCTATATATATGTACCCTACATATAACCTACATGTACCCTACATATATGTATCCTACCTGCATGTACGTACATGCAAGACAGGGGGTCCGTGAAGGGAGCGTGCCTCCCTACCTGCCTTATGGCATGCCGACGGTTTAATGGAGGCACTCCCATGTGGCCGTGTGGCCGTGTGGCCGTGTATAACAGACCAAACATAATATATCGCCGTCTGAAACGCGTTATTGGTAATAAATTGCATCCGCTATTGCAAGGTATCGATCTCTAGTTATTACCAATAACGTGTTTCAGACGGCTATATATTATGTTTGGTCTGTTATACACAGCCACACGGCCACATGGGCATGGGCAATCCTACAGGGGCCCCCCTGGGCGCTAGCGCTCCAGCTAACGCCCCAGCACGAAGCGCTTCATGCTGCGGCCCTGCCCAAAAACATGTATTTGTCTTCAACTGCCCCACAGTCACAAAGCCTGCAGGTGCACGTGGTGCAATCATGTGAGTGCATCAAGTGTTTATGTGTTTCCGGTTATGCTGTTGGGAGTTAGAGATTAACTGGCCTAACGGCCGTGCATGGCCACACGGCCACAACACCACACAGCCACACGGACATGCATGTCCATATGGACAATCCTACAGGTCGGGGCCCCCCAGCTGGGCGCTTCATGCTGGGGCCCCGCCCAAAAAACCTGATCGATGGATGCAGAGATCATGCCACGCTTTTGGCATTAATGCCAAATAAAAAATGAAATACATATTATTATGCATTTCTCAGTCAAATTTGAAATACCCAGAGCATCCCGCAGTAAGGTGGACCACCAACCAACATCCATGCAAGTACACCCTAAGAGCTCTTAGCACCTTCGCACCCTCCACACCTTCACAGCGGGCGCCTCCGGATCCGGCCGCCTCCTTTCAACTTCTCGCTGGATATATGTCCATCCTTGACACGGCCACACCTCGCCCCGAAACGTTTTGGTTCTACACATGAACGTCCACAATGATGGATATGGTTCACATGTGTAGCAAATAAGCTGTCTGCATACTGCGGGTTTAAACCTTAATTTTTAAATTAAGCTGTCTGCATACTGCGGGTTTAAACCCGCAGTATGCAGGCAGCTTAGGACAAGGCATTGTCGGGGCAGTGCACTGTCGGGGCAGTGCAGCCACGTGGCTGCAGCCACTGGGTGCCGGAAAAGCCTTGCTCTGCTTGCGATCATGAGATGCTGGGAATGCACTTTATCACAAATCTATGCTTGATGGTGTGTGCTATACTGTACTACAGCTACAATTTGAGGCTTCTTGGGAAAGTAAAGTACGGCAGCCAGAAGACATTCAACAATTTCCCCCCCCCCCAGTTGCAACTGGGAGGACCAATTGGTCCTCTTTCCCACAGAGATGCACAACAGATATGCCGGGCATGCATGCCATAGATACACAATAATCGAACCAATTTTTGTCCTCGGCCTTTCCCGACTTCACAGCATGTCCAAGGTTTTATGGCTACATTGCATTTCCGGACACCGACCACGGTGGGGACGACCTGGGCAACCCTGGCTCCGCTGCAGCAGCCGCTACCGAGTGTGCCAAGTTGCCAGAATGCCAAGGCTTCAATGTCAACGGCTGGATGAAGGCGTCTGCGGATCCATTGACGTACTTGGAATCAGTTTGTTTTTTTAAAAAAATTCCAGGTGCGTGTGCACATCAAACGCTACCATTGGTACTGGTAAAATTACCGGTAAAATTTGTCCTCACCTATAGACAGGGGCATCGTATAATCACTGGAGGACAGAAGTTCGTCCGGATTTGGACTTTTTGAGCTTCTTTCTTACTCTAGATCTGAAAGAGGTAGGAACAGCGGACCACCGAAGGGTGACCACCGAAGGGGACCACCGAACAGCCTGACAGAACCTCTTCACAAGCTATCCCCATGGGGATTCACAAGCTATCCCCAGGGTGGCCACCCTGTCCACGTATATACGTGATATATCACTGTCATTTCCCGTGCAGGAATTAACATCGCATCCTATTCTTATAGTATAAACGATGGTCACCATCGTTCGCTACGGTAGCTAAAAGCGTAATCTCATATGACATAGAATGTTCCATTGTGACCATAGAAGCCAGCCATCACTCACCATCCAACCCCCACCCGTGCTGCATGTGAGGATTATCATGATGCCACCGCAGTGTTTTCATGGCCGCAAGCGCATTTGGAATTTTATGAGAACCATTATAAGCCCTAATGAGGGCAAAGTGGTGTGCATTTAGCATTTGGGTGTGAAAATGAGCTCTACGTGTAAAGCATAATTATGCATAATTTATAAATTCTTCCACAAGCTTAAGCTTGTACTACAAGCTTAAGCTTGTACTACAAGCTTAAGATTTAAACTAGTGGTTGTAAGCTGCCCCTATGGCAGCCAAACTGGGAGCTACGGGCCCCCCTAGCAACTGGACTAGTAGCTCCTGAGAC